AGGACTTAAGGTTTGCGGGTGGGTCTTCAGGTTCGTCAGGCTCACTTGCCATGTTGTCAAAATGCGAGAATGCGCTGCACAAAGTGAAAGCGGAGATTTACGGGACTCGGTCCGTCACTCAATTATGTCCGTCGGGAAACTAGATATTTTAAATGGTTCGGCTCGCAAAAACGGAATTAAAATAAAACAAAATAAAATAAAATAATATCCTGCGCCCAATAATTCAGTACAGGGTCGTGCCAAACCGAAAGTCGCGTACCGAACGGTTCGACACAAATACATGTACCGTTACGGCCCTACTGGTTAGGTTATGTGATTGGCCACTGGAGCGTGACCTCAGGTTGCATTTCTCCAAAAGTTGATTCTATTTCAACTTTTTAGGGCAGGCCGCTGCGTATTTTCCAGCATTACCTTGTGGCCCCACCGCCGCAGCCTAGAAGCACTACTCACATTGAAATAAATGGGAGAACTGGTGTTTTCGCCACAATATGTGGTGTGAATGCAGCCCAGGGCCTGCAGTGTGAATGCAGCCTTAGATTTGGACAGTTTGTGAGGAGGTTTGAAGGGACACCACAGTGATGCAGGGGAAAAGGCACCAGCGCTGTTGAGATCCAGGTTTAGTTCTTGGCAGTGGTGCTTCCTACTTGGTTAGGTGCCCCATTTAATCTAATAAGCAGTGTCAGTTGGTAGGAAGCCAGTGGGGGATCAATAGCCTATACTTCCACTGGTTTGTCTGGGCATCTGTTTAGAGTTTACTGGGGGGGGTATGAGGAGGATGTGCATGTGTTTACATGTGTTTATGTGTGTGTTCTCCAGGGGGAGAGAGGTCTTCCAGGCCAAACGGGTCCATCAGGAAAAAAAGGCTCAGTTGGCGGGATGGGATTGCCGGGGAAACAAGGAGAGCAGGGACCTAAAGGGCAACCAGTGAGCGCTGATTTATCAAATAACTTCAAATTTCTGTACATGACAACTGACTTGCATGTTCAATGACGAAGGTTACCATATGTTCTCTTCTGTTTATCAGGGGGATACTGGTGAACAAGGATTTCCAGGGGTGTTCGGTCTGTTTGGACCAAAGGTATGCGCAACCGTCAAGCTCCATTCACAACCACAACGGTGACCTCAGGTCAATCAGGCCTTAAAGTTTTAGTTTTCCAGTCTGAGCAAAGTTCTTATCTCTTAGTCCAGACTGATGATACGGCTCTCAGACTGTAAGATGACCCAAAAAGTAATTTTCAGGGCTCAACTCACATTTTGGTTGGAGTACTTTCTGTGAAGTTTGAACGCCTAAAACTGTCTGGAGGTACATTACCTTCTATTGTCTTCAGTAAAAATTGATATGAAAGCTGTTATGTATTACAGTAACATGCCCCAGCGTGACATCTGCTGTGCCATAAGTCTGCTTTACTTACAGCACTGCTGCAATATAGATTATTGCCAGCTGAAGAAACACAACAGGCTTTCCTGGAGTCTCACTCTTTAATTTAAAACCCTGAGGGGCATGTTGGATATTTTCCTACTGCGGGAGTTGAACAGGAGTGTGAAGCAGATGAGCTTTGTGTTGGTGTTCAGTGGAGTTTATAATAATTGTTCTAACTAAGAAGCAGTGAGTAAGGATAATTAGAGTAAAGTCATCAGATAAAAGTGCAGGCTCTGAAACAAAGTGTTTAAACATCCCAGGTCCTGGAGTGATGTTGAATGGTTGTAATCATGTAGCAGCTGCAGCACTGACCTTATTCTAAATAAGACGAGAGATTCGACTGTTTACACAAGTTTCTTGTAAAACTTTTCCACTTTCCACTCAGAATTATTACAATAAGCTGTTTTTATGGTGTTATTATGATAAAAGCGACGTGCTGCAAACCATTAATTTTTACGGCTTTATTAGAGAAGATTAAAACTGGTAGCACATGTATCGTTAAACAGCGGGGCAGCTGTTTTGTCGTGGTATATGAAAATGTTACGTCTTGGATACACTAACAGAGCTGTTCTGCATGGTGTTGCCGACAGACTAATTTAGGAGCATTACACATTGTAAAAGGGAGGGATGAGGGGTGAGTAAGTGGCAATCACCCCCCTGAGAGTAACAGGCTGAGATTGCTGTCAGTAAAGCAGACTTTCATATCTCCTTAAAGGTGATGCAGGGTTTTTCTAAAATAATAATCTATAGACCATCACTTATGACCCAGTAGCAGTCTGTGGCTGCGTATTTATCAGCAGAGGCCCTTCCCTCTGCCTGCGTTTTCTTATTTCTGTCTCATTTTGCTGTTTTCGGGATATTCTTGGGCATAGCGTGTAGGTGAGCAGTGTAAGCAGGAGGCATCCAAGAGAAAATTGTGGACACTCCTACAAAAAATTAAATATTCAAATTAAATTCCCACATGGTCCAGTCATATAGGTTTTGATTAATTTTAAAAATCAGTATTAATCGATAATGCTAATGGTTTGTTGCTACCTTAGTCTTGTGGAAAGCAATATATAAGAGAGAAGCTGAAGCCTTGAAAGAAAGTCATTGTATGCAATCTGAAACTGTGTCCCAATTCCATACTACATGCCACTTCGAAGCAAGTTTTCAGTGTGCACTGTGCACCATTAGGCTCGTTTGAGATGAGCCAGACCTGTGCAGAATTCATCACCGACTGTTGATCTGTGTCCAACTTGATCTTGACTTGCTCTGACATCACACACACATATGAGCAATGATAACCTCACAGATTGAGGCGGCCACAGTTTTAGAGCCAGGCCCCACAGTTGCTTTCCACTAACTTCAAGATGCATGATGGGAAATGCCTGGCTGTTGCTTGATCAAACAGCTGATTATCTCTTAGTTTTAACCACAAACACGAGGTTTGGTAGAAAATCCTAACTTTCTGCGTAATTATAATGTTTAAAGCTAGATTCTAGACTGTTGGTCTCATGTTGTACAATGAAGGTTTATTCTGTTTACAAACATCTTGTGTGGCTGACAATTATAATAATACCTGTTCTGCAAACTACATTATGTTTCTATGACCTTTTGTATATTCTTTGAAGGCTGCAAGAAATAGGACATCTTTGATGGAAACTGTCCCACTTTTTGTCACTGCCCCCTAATCTTATTTTCCAGGAGAGGTGCAGTTCATCTCGAATGAGCACATTGTAAACGTTTGTCTGCACACTGAATCCATTTCATTTTTCAGTGTTTGTTTAAACAACACTGTAATGCACACAGGAAATGGATAACCTGCTCACAGCTGCAGTCAATTAAATAAACTGCTAATGGTGTATAGTAGGATAAACTCTAAAAACACCTAAGGAAACAAACAAAAATAATAATGCATTTATACTTTAGGGGGAAAGTACTTTGTCTTTGTGAAGTTAATCTGGCAATTTTAAGTTTGATTTTGACCTCGACATTCGTCAAAGTATTGTATTTACTTTTGGTACAAATGAAAAATGACTTTTAGATTCTGTATACTAATTGCAAACAGTATAGGTGATGATTAGCATTAGCACAGCGGGAGAGCACAATTAAGTCCCACCCCACCAGAGGAGGAAACAATACATCGCTCTCTTCTGACTTTGTTTTGCTTGAAGGTGCCTCCTTGTCATCTTGTCATTTATGTCTGCCAGCAAACAACAGAGAAATGCCCCAAGGTTGTTGTGTGATGGGATGCACTACCAGAACTATGTTTTTATTTAGCTGCAGAACTGAAAAAAAATGAGGTTTCAAAAGGCCAAAAGTGGATACAGATGTGAGGCATCAACAGGAAGAATGGGAAACGGTGGGATCCTGACGCTCAGTGTGCCATGTGCAGCAAGCATTTTGCTAATTTGACCAGACAAACTGTTGAGGTTGGAGCTAACTAAGCTATGCAAAGCCTGGTTTTGATCTTTGTTGGCTTAAATGTTTGTAATTAGCATGTAGTCTGGAAATGGGAGTGCATTCTCCTAGAGCTACCACCTAGTGGCCATTAGAGGAACAGCATCCTAAGACATCTTTGTTTTAGCATCCAACAATTGCAGAGACATTTATCAGAGTACAACTTCTGCTTGTTGCAAACAGAGGTCAACAAAGGTGATTTTCACTGATGATTTACTACAGGTGTAACCTTTAAACTTACCGTATCTTATCCACTGTTATAAATGACAAGTATTTGTCTTCCTAGGGACCCCAGGGAGACATGGGCCCGGCCGGGATACAGGGACCAAAAGGGCCGCGTGGTTTGTTGGTAAGATGAAGATTAATGGTAGTTTGGTAACTCTGTGCAGTATTTCAGCCGATGCCGGTGCTCTTAACTCTCACAAACTGCACAATTCCCGTGAAAAATAAGCAGCGCGCCATGAGATGCTCCATCATATGTGTCGTCAGTCACTAACATGCCTCTGCTTTCCAGGGTATGGAGGGAGCTTTGGGCCCCGTTGGCATCATTGGCCCCAGCGGTCATCCTGTATGTACCTCATATCTCATCCTATCTGCCAAGCTTTATGTGACTTCTCTCTGCTTTTTCGGCAGTGATGGAGTGATCCTCTGTCTCCTTTTTCTCCATCAGGGACCCCAGGGTGACAAAGGAAGTCGGGGGGAGACGGTGCGTGGCGCTGTTTTGATGAATCCTTTTCTGTCTGTACTGTGAGCACAGAATAGGATACTTAGTATGGAGAAGGCGCACCACTCAGCCTCCTTTGCCCTCAGCACTTTTCATTTCCTATTGTGCTCCACTGTTTGTTGTTACACTCGCAGTGACACTTAGCTGCTGTGGAATTCCTGTCAGGGTGATAAATGTTGGCTGCATGCTCATCTCAAGCTTTTTAAGGGGTTTGCTGAGCGTTCGTACACGGGCATATTTCACAAGCTCACTCCCCAAACGCCAACATTCATGTATGAGTTTCCTGCGTGAAAATAGGATTTGCTGTGTAGAAATAAGATTTCTGAGTGTAGGCTTGCAAAGAGGCAAGAGGGCAATTCAACATACAATAGATAAAGATGTCTATTGAATTGGCTGCACAAAGACGACGTTCCACTTTGCATGACAGAGTAATATTTGGTCTGCTCTCAAACTCATTCTGTTATTGTGGAACTGATTGTCCACTTGTGAATATTGATTACTTTTTCTCTCATCTTTAACAGGGGTTGCAAGGACCAAGGGTGAGTAATTATTCACTTCTGTAGCTTAATCATTATTCTCTGCACGGGCCTGTGGCTGCTCAGCACTAGAAGAAATGAATTAACTTTATCATCTTCTATAAAGTCCAAGTCCTAAATAATTTGAAAGCTAATGTGGTGATTTTTCAGGGATTGCCTGGCCCTCGTGGACCACCTGGACCACCAGTAAGTTTATCATTTTGTATGAATGGTATATCTTCCTTTTTTGGAATTTGGACTAGATTTAAGTGTCTGAAAAAAGTCAACAACGAGAGTCATGCTTGGTTAAAAGTGCAATGTGTAATGCCTGGTCACATGCTCCAAAGAAATGGGGGGCAGCATTTCACCGGTCTACTACTAGGCCCATACCATCTAAATTTACAGCCATCAGTTATAAAAAATAAAGCCAACTACACAGGCTGGGCGATGATGTATTTTCAAGCAAGATCACATTTTCTCCATCAGCACTCAGAGAGACACAGAGCTGCTCATCTGTTTAATCTGTCTGTTCATTAGTCTACAGTGTGACATCGGTCTGTATGTTGCATGTGCTACACTAAATCAGTCTGTGAGGTGACACTACAGCAGCACATGTGCAGTCCAGTGCTTCGCTGTGAGTTTGTGTGTGAGGTGGATCATAGCGTGTCACTGGCAGTTGTACTCTATTGTATGACATGGAGACAGCATCTGGATGCAGGCGACAGATGTGTTTAAAAAAAATGCAGCAACAACACAGATGTTTTATATAGAAGATGTGTATAGCGCAGATAGTGTCTCTCGCTCCTTCCCTCCCTCGGCCTCGCTGTTGATGCTCTGTGCATAAATAAGACTAATAGCCTAAATAAATAAAGATATACACTAGATTCATTTGAAAGGCCATGGAAAATGAATGAAATTTTTAATTGTTTTAAACTACAATGGATTAAGGCCTATTAAATACATTTACAGTCATGTTATAGTTTTGTGTCCTGTGCTGCAAACCTTTAAACCTCTGTAGCTCCAGTGCTGTGTGCAAAAATGTCAATGTACATTCATTCATTTTTTTGTAACCTCCTATCCTGTCAGGTGTTGCGGGTGTGCCCTAGCCTATCCCAGCTGACACTAAGCGAGAGGCAGGGTACACCCTGGACAGGTCACCAGACTATCACAGGGCTGACACATAGAGACAGACAACCATTCATGCTCACATTCACACCTACGGACAATTGAGAGTCACCACTTAACCTGCATGTCTTTGGACTGTGGGAGCAAACCCATGCTGACACAGGGAGAACATGCAAACTTCTACACAGAAGGGCTCCCCTACCCTGAGTTCGTACCAGGAGCCCTCTTGCTGTGAGGTGACAGTGCTAACCACTGTGCCACCATTGTTAATGTACAGCCCTGCTATTTATTTTATAGAAATTTTCATTTACACGTTGTGCAGCTTTCAAACGGGAATACAATCCCTGTCTTTGCCTTTTATTTTGATCACAATTTGTTTTCATAAAAGTGCTCGTGACATCTCAAATGTGGCTTTGACTTGCAACTGAAAACATGTAGTCCATTTTGCAGAAAATACCAAGAGATATATAGTGCATTGCCAGTCAGCCTGTAAATACCGAGATATGAATTTTTGTCCATATTGACCAGCCCTACTAACTACTAACAGAACAGCAAGAATACACAAAATTCAAAAACAAGGCTTTGCTTAGTTTTATCAAGACCATAGCAGCAAGAAAACAGCCGCGTCAAAACCATATCGACACCATTTGGCATCTCATGTTGGACTGAACACAGGTTGGATGCTGCAGTGACTCACTGTTGCCTCGTAGGGTACAAGCTGTGCGACAAAACAGGACAGGCCCTGGTTAGCATGCTCATTTGGGTAGATATCACTGCAACACAGTACAAAGACGTTTTTAACATAATGTCTGTTGATGATATGAGCTCATTTTTTGGATGTTTTATACTGAAAGTGTAGCTCTATCTGACACATTATACCTTTAAAAGTGTTCTTTAAGCATCCTCCAGAAATCAAGATCAAGGAGGGAAGATTTCAGAGGGAGAAGAGACTGGAACACACTCATTGATTTCACAGCGAACAGAGCAGAATAGTCTTTTGACTCTAATGTGTATCCATAAAAGCCAAAAAGTAACGTGTTTTCATAATTCACATCCCAAAGTTACACTGAAAAAAAAGGAAGTGCTCGGCTGTGGGTGCAGTATCTGGTCCCCTGGAAAATCATTTGAGGTGTAAAAACTAATTTGTGCATCTACACCCGAGCTGAACTGTGAGCATTTGAAGTGTTATTGGGAGAATAATCTAACTAGTTAGGGACCTGCTTGTTTTCCACTCTGATCTGATTCAAATAGCTGTTCGCCAGCGGCTCCTCTTCTCTGCATTTGACATGCTTTATTTCCTGTGCGTTCACGCCTCATTTCCTGTGCATTCATGATTGTTTCTGTGCATTACTGCATATTGGATGAGATTGGCAGAGCCCACCACCAACAGTGTCGATTAGCGTTTGCAGAACTGCTCTCCAAACACAATGCACCGAGTGACTGTTTCTACAAAAGTGCCAACAAGATAAACAACTAAAGTGTGTCAGTATACATGGAGATTATAATACAAGCTTGTCTCTTTGGTTTTTAGGGTCCTCCCAGTTCTGTCCTCTTACTTGTAAGTATGCTTTTATTTTTTAAGTCACAGTTTTGGGAATAATGACATGTTATAGTCAGGGTGTCTGCAGGTCCTTAAAATGTCTTAAATTCAATTATGTAAAAAATATTAGGATTTAAAAGTCATTAAAGAGTCTTACATTTTAATTTGTGAGGTTTTAACCGCCACAAACATTTAATCTAATTTTATTTATCCACCTTTTAATTACTATTTGTCAAAATGAGTCAAGCTCTTTTGCATAAAGGTCCACATTTCTGATGTTACAAATCTTTAAACCTACCACTGAACTTAACCTGCACGCACTTGTTGACAAAATGTAGATTAATCTAACTCACTCTAATAACCATGTCTCTGTCTGTATGAGACCACATATACACTGTCTCCCTTTATACTCACCTGCAATGCATTAATAAGCAAAACATGATTTGTCCAAAAAATCTGTCTTAAATTGGGTAAAAATGATCTTAAAAGGATCTTAAAAACCATAAAATGTAAGTGTCTTGACATCTGTAGACACCTTGGTTGTAGTACAAAAGTAAAAATGACTGTCGTCGTGGTTACCTTGTTGTCTTGCTGTCTTCTTTGGTAGAGAAATGAGGCTCTTGATGCCACCTTTCAAGACATCATTGACTCCCACACTTCACTGAGGCCAGAGGTTAGTTTTGAGGGGAACTGTGTACGTTGCAAGGAATCAGTGTTGATTGTTGGGGTTCTAATGGGTTTTATTAACACTTGGAAACCTGGAACAACATTGCTTTTCATGTGATGCTTTCAGACGCCTTTCGCAAGTATTTAAACCTTTTAACCCTGAGCAAATTGATGTGATTTCTTTAATAAATAATAAAAAAAAAAAAACATGGGAAAAAGGGCTATGAGCAACTTGGTAAGAAATGTCCCACAAATTTAAAAAAAAAAAAAAAAAAAAATTTTTAGAAAATTACTTAAAAAAATAGGGAAAAAAGAAAAAAGTTAGGGAGAAACTATAATAATAATAATAAACTACATTTTAAAATTTTGTTACAGAATTCTTACATTTTTTAAGCACTCTTTCCGGGCTATTTAATTGTTTGCTTGTTTTTAAACTTTATTTATTTTTATTTTTTCTTTTATTACTTTTCTTGTTTTTTGATTTTCTCCTTTTTACTAATTTCTTGCTAATTTTTTGGGTCATTTCATTTCTTATTACCATCTTCCCATGTTTTTAAAAGAAATCAAGCCAGTTTGCAGTTTGGTTAATCTAACGGAGTCATTATAAACCTGAACAAGTTAGAGATCCAACTAAGTCTGTCAAATAAGTTATTCTCTGATCTGATAAAGATTACGTTACATTTTAAATTATGCCTTCCTACGACAACCGGTTCATGACTTATGAAAAGGGATGTAGCAAAATGGCATATGTATCTGTTTATCTGTGTGTGTCTTTCTATAAAGTTTGGTAATGTTACGTGAATTCATTTAGAAACTATGCACCTTTCTGTTACAGGCCACTTCCACTGCCTTTTAGACAAGGGAACTAGAGATGCACTGATTTATCACCCGCACATTCACATCAGCCAATATTTGCCTTGTTGACTGCCATTGGCCTGTGAGCAAACAAGATGACACTCACTGATGGCAGTGGCTGATGTTTTTCTGTTGTGTCACATCAATTTTGTGCAGACTAAAAAGCAGGGCTCGAGACTAACTGTTAATAATTAAGATAATTAAGATCTGTTTCCCCTGTGCAATAGGGGGAATAAATAACAAAAACAAAATGTACAACAACACAAAAACATCAGTATTGGTATCAGACCAGGATCAGTGCATCCCAAGCATGAGCAGTTAGTCAGCTGTCCTTTGGCTCAGAAGCAATCCACATCCATAATAACCATTAACAAGTAGCATGAACACAAACATACACACACAGTTGACCTCCATGGCAAGTTCATCCTCCTAGGGTAAAGACTTTGGCCGCCTAAGGTTGGAGAAATTGTTTTGGACGAACCAATTTAACTGATTGACGGAGCGACCTATACAGCTGCTAGTCATGGCTAAAAGTCATGCTCATATTTTTGTCCAAAGCATAACTATCAGAGCATGGACCTGCCCATGTTGGACCAGAGCGCAGAGATCTTCAAGACCTTGCAGCATCTCAACACTATGATCCGGAGTCTTAAGAACCCGCTGGGAAAGCGTGACAACCCTGCACGAATCTGCCGAGACCTCTACAACTGTGAACAGAAGATGCACGACGGTGAGGAGACATTTAAACTGCTTAATTATTTCCTTGCACATATCCTTTCTGTTCCTGTTAATTAAGAGCTCTGTTCTGCTGCTGCTCTTTGACAGGCACTTACTGGATCGACCCAAACCTCGGCTGCAATGCTGACACTGTCGAGGTGACGTGTAACTTCACCAGTGGAGGACAGACCTGCTTGAAGCCTATCACAGTATCAAAGGTTCGGATCACTTCTTTATTAAGTCATTTGCTTCAGCTAGATGAACTCATATCACTTAGATGCAGAGAAGAACACTTCAGGAGCTTGTTATGCCGTCAATGGATGAATATCAAATGCGTGATTGCTTGTGTGCATGTGGAGAATGTTTTCAAAGGATTTCTCAAGAAGCAGAGGAGCTTAGAGTTTACTGTTCATGTTATAAATTAAGGTGCACAGCTGTTTGTTTTCTGGCCCTGTACTATAAACTGTAGCTCTTTTTTGATGGATAATCATCGCAATGAATCTTAGGGCTTCCCATTTAGTCCTGTTGGCCAAATCACTATCACAGGCACGCTCAGTTGGCAAGTAATGCTCCAGGATCTTAAGCTCTCCTTTTATGCTTTTGTTTTGGAGTTATACTTCAGCCAGAAGATACTGCAGTGATACATCGCAGCACACAAGAACAGATATACAAACTCACAGCCTGCTTGAACTGCAAATTAAATACTGAAACAGACATCCATGTATCAAGTCACAATGTGTGATACAGATGTAACTCAGTCTAATTAATAACAGGACTGGAGTCTGTTATCAACTCCCAAATAGATTGTGCCTCTTCTGTTACAGAGACTAATACTTGCCAACAACTTAGTTCAGTAATTGTTGTTTACATCAGGAACAAATAGTGTTATTAAAGCTGGAGCAGGCAGACATCTGGAAAAGGCAAAAGAACCGCAGAATGTGAAAATCCATCCGCTTCCTGCAGGTCCCCCCTCTCTGTCCTGGTACTTCATACAGTAACCCAGTGTTTCCTACACATTTTTACTGTTTTATTGTAGAGTTGCACATACGCTCAGCCGCTCCTTGCGCCACTCTCTGTTTATCAGACCACGAATGAGACCAGAGTTAGCTAGCTAGCCACCCAACGGTCCCTCCGCCTCGCTCCTTGCTGCTGTGGACAGCTTTGCCGGAATGAGAGCAGGCAGCGGCTTTTCCAGGAAAGAAGCTGGAAAAGGAACTTCGATTGGCAGCTACAGCAGCTCAAATACAGCTAGTATGAAGCTCATAGCACCGGTTGTCACAGCGAGCTGGTGGCCAACGGCAGCTCCAGGTCTAATCTGTGTAATGTCAGCAACAGAAAGTTTGCTGATCTGGCGGGAAGGCGGGGCTGTCTGGTCCCCTGGAGCTGGGGCTTGCGCTGACTGGATTGGGGTTGCTGTTGGTCTGTCTCTCGATCTGCTGCCCATTCTCCTCTACGCAAGGTGGTCTGTAGCGGCGGGAAGTGAGGCAGAGGTTACACTGTAAATTTGAGGCTCTAGCTAACATTAGCTCCATAAATGTGAACTGGAAGCTGCAGCCTTGAGCCTTTAGCTCCGGTTAGCAGAAGGCTGAACCATTAGCAACATTTTCTCTCCATCTCTGAAACATTTCGCCAACATTGACACATTTTACTTCATTTATTGTCAGACTCTCTTTTAGACTCTCTGTTTGGTAAGTTCGTCTTCCTTTTTTGGGTTGCTTTGCAGTGTAGGCAGTTGTTGCCAATGCTGGAATAGCAACTTTCTGCCATTGTACCATACTTTTACCAAAGGCTTGTGCATGTGCATCTGCATTTGTAGGACAGTCAATAGGAACACCCTCTCTCTGAAATGGTCTATGATTGCTCAAAGAGCCAAGAGGAGGCGCGGAAGTCTAGTTTTCTCTCAGATCACTTGAATTAAAATATGCTCCAAGTTTATTTGGGGATTTTTGCACAGTAATGCCTAAAAAACTGCCTCCTCCAGCTTTAAAAGAAGCCTGTTCCTTAATTTGTAATTATTTAATAAATACAAATTCTTGCTTTCTAGTTGGAGATGGGAGTGGGTCGTATCCAGATGAACTTTATCCACCTTTTAAGCACTGAGGCCGTGCAGCACATCACCATCCACTGCCTCAACACCCCTGTGTGGGCAGCAGGACCCTCCATGCAACCTTCATCCAGGGCTGTGAGCTTCAAAGCCTGGTCAGGGGAGAAGATTCAGGCAGGTGACCTCCTGGAGCCGCTAATACCCAGGGACGACTGCTGGGTAAGCACTGTTACTTTTCTGGTATATGTAGTACTTACCCCTTGAATCCAACAATCCAACCATGTATACATCCTTGAAGGACAAGTCCAACATTTCGACAAATGTATTCGCTGTCTTGCTGAAAATTAGATGAGAAGATTGATAAGAGATCAAACTGTGTGTTGAATGAGGCCTTTGGAGTTTTCTTGTAAACAAACAAAAGTTACATAAAGATATTCTCAAAAAATTTTAAATATAACCAAACAATTTGTGGTTTTATGGGGAGTAACATGCTATAACTATTTCTCATCCAGGTGTAGAGACTTTATGGTGTCTTGCATATAACTCCCTGTAAAGCCACAACATCAGGTTCCTTTTGTGCACTGATGAAACAAACGTGATATTATGTGTCAATTACGTGTTAATAGGCAGATGTTTAAACTTTGGAGTGACCCAAGCTAGCTGTTTGTCTGCTTCTAGGCTTTATGCTAAGCTAATTGCCTTCATGTGCGACCTCCATACTTTGACCACAACATAAAAATGTCCTCACTTACCTCATTTGGCGTCTAATCATGCAGATAGTTTGGGATTTATTTCTCCAGCTTTTGAGACATCTGCTTGTAATATTTCTGCCTCCAACCCAACACAGTAGAGGTGATTAGAATTAAGTTTGACGTGCACACAGCAGTGTCACTGTTACTGTGACTAATCCACAGACCTCAATGTCAGTGGTTTCGGTAGAGAATAATTCCAAATTAAAAAAAAAGAAAACAGGAAGATAACAATAAAGCCTGTGGATTATTCAGAGTGACTTGGACAATAGCCTATTTTGGACCAGATCAACTCTGTCATAGTTCTAAAAGAACCCCCTTTGTATGATTTCTGGACCTCCAGAACTAGGAACCATTGTGTTTTTTTAAGGACCAGACACATCAAATCAATGTCAAAGAACTAGTGGCAACAAATGCCCACTGTTGTGTTGCCTGTGTCTTGGCCAAAAAGTTGCACTTGAACACACAGCAAAGACAACAGCCAGCGGTCAACTAGCATGAACGTTCTGTGCCTGCATAAGAGGAAATAACTCTCTACACCAGCAGATGGCAGTAGACTGTATTCATCATTCAAAAAGAAACCAGAGGGCCGACAGGGCGGATTCCAGGTGCTAGTTAGCCAGTTTACATGGTGCTTTGGCAAACAATCACAACATCAGGAACTGTTTCTGCTTAAGAGCTCAATGGCTTAAAAAGAAACAATCGTACCTCATATAACAAGTGTGTTTTTCGATCTTCACGCACTCTTGAATTTAGCGGTTTGCTTTCCTCACTGTTTTTCTTCTTGTACCCTAAGTTGAACTGCCAATCAGAGTGATTTCATTCACCGACAGCGCTGCTATCTCAGATGCTAATCCAACATGATGCTCCTGCCAAAAAACAGCCAACAAGGGCCAACTTTGCAGGACAAACCGCAAACACGGTTATGATTCATATGAAGCGCAGAAGTGATGTTGTTAAACCACCTGCCAGCTGTTTTACATCACTACACGTTCCTAGCGGCGGTGCAAATGCAAACAGATCAAATACCCTTGAAGCTATGTAGTTCTCGGGGGGAGATCCCCAGCGTACGTTTCCCCTCAGAGAATCCCCCGAACTATAGGGTCTGGAAACAGCTATTAACAGAACGCTTGTGGAGAGGCAACCTGCTGCTGAATTTAATGTAGGTTCCATATTCACCTCCTTTGTTTCGGGGGTGGAGGCAGACATCTCAGCGACAGATGTCTCCAAAGCTGCACCAAAAATCCAAAACTATCTACATAGCTATATAAAACTAGAAGTAAGAGAGAGAGAACTGACCCTTTGATGTTATTTTGTCTTCCACATCATGTGACATCTTCCACTTTCAGATCAAAGATGACCGCTGGCATCAGACCCACTTCATCTTCCAGACCCAGGACCCAAACTTGCTCCCCATCGTGGACGTGTACAACCTCCTGACCACAGAACCTGGCGCACGCTATCACCTGGAGGTCGGACCAGTGTGCTTCTTATAGGGCCCTGAGGAGGGGCTGGGAATACTCCTCAAAGGAGTGACTCCATGGAAGAGAGTGGACGGGGGACACGAATGCTTCTGTGGTTTCCAGAGCAACTGACCCCCATTTTCTCTCCAAAAAATATGCTCGGACTGCAGAAACAGGAGGGGGCGCCAGCGAGAGAAGGCCCGTTGAAAATGCAGAGACTTCTAGCACTAATCAGCCTATGGAAAACAATAATAAGCTCCTTTTTCAGAGACTTGTTTGTGAGATACAAGACCTGAATGCCCCTTTTGGAAGGAAGTAATATGAACGTCTCGTCTGTCATCTCTCGGACCATGTTGTATCATATTTTCTTCACGGTCTGATAACCTGATTTTGCAAAAACATACGTTTTTCAAAAGAGATCTGTACAGAAATATGGAACAGTTACATCTGCAAATGCAACAATTCCTATTTTAATGTTTAAGTATTATTTATACATGTATATGTACTGTATATTGTAATATAAAGTGCAATAGTTATTGTTTCACAGGCCTTTAGGCATATACAGTATCATCATATCACTCATTCAGGTATTCAGTGTGCTTCAGACACACAGGCGTACTGTCTCCAGGTAAATCTTTTTGAGCCTCTAATAACTGTCCAGTGCTGAGAGACGCCGTGTTTATACAGATATCCTTACACAAACAACTGCTGTGTGGTACTATCCGTGCTAAAAATGGATCGAAGCTTTCCACAGTGTGAACCGAGAAAAGTGTGTCAAGATGCTACCTCGTACTGCGCCTCTCATCTCGCAGCAAACAAGACGTTACCTGATATAATCTGGGATGACACGGAGGTGACACCTGGTGCTGCAACGGTTGACACTCTTTATGATAAACTCGTGTCAGCTCTCAGCAACGCAACAATATGTCTGTGCTTTATGAAATAAAGGGAAGATTGTAAAATATACATGCAGGCCAAACTCATTAAATTATATTTTCAAGGTAGTATTTTAACGTTTTCAATATTCTTTGTACTGACACTGAGTCTGACAATATAAGTTAAGTTTTTGTATCTGTCAAAATGTAAATGTCTAATTATGCAACCTTTATTATCTACAGTGGATTCTATTTAAATTTTATTTAAATTCTGATTAGCTTTCCAGTTCAAAACCAGGCATCGGTCATATTTTATCACATTTTCTGAGTCATTTGGAGCTTTAAGGATTCTACAGTCTGTATGTGTTTTTCTAATTCAGCTGTCCGAGACAATCAACTGTATTTAAGGACATTACCATCCTTACTATTTACTGTTTATGCATTTCTCACTCACAGGTGCAGCATTCACGGTTGGTCCAGCCAATCCACAAACTCAGAGGATTTCTTACAATACACAACACTACACAACACTACCAGGGTACACAAGCTAATAGTGTTTGGTCTGTACCAACGTTTTATGCTGCATGAATGAAGTCTAATGACTCGATAGGTAATTCAATAAAAGTCTGAAACCTTTGTTGATAAGCAGCTTTCAATTTTTTTCTCATCAAAGAAAACTTCATAGCAAAGTGAGAGAATAAAATGCATTTAAACTGCCTACTTGTGGCAGTGTGTTTGAGCTTCCTCCTATTCATTTCACACCTGGAACTGTCAAGTCCTGACAGCTAACACCGTTGTAAACATGGAGAAAGATTGTGTCCTTGAAGTAATGCCTTGTTTTTTCTTCCCCGAACAACTTTCCTCCCCTGATCAGTTTTACTAGCTCTCGATACAAAAACACAGGAAGACTTAAAGAGTTGAAAGCACTATATTAGCAGACTGCTGTATCTTTACACACATGATCTTATCTTGGGCACATGGCATGGCGGCCCCCGTCAATGGGCAGGTTGACTCCAGTAATGAAGCTGGCAGCGTCGGAGGCCAGGAAGGCGATGCTTTGGGCCACTTCGTCCACCTCCCCTGGTCGACCGAGGGCATGGGTCTGCTTACACTTGGCAAGAAACTGGTGGTGAAAAAGATCGAAGGATACAAGATGTTACTTACTGGATCACAGATCAGGTTTGCATGCGATCACTTTTAAAACAAAACACAAAAACAGCTCTCTTATGTGTAAGAACCTGAATAAACCAGACTGCTGGGTGGAAACGAGGCTTTACAGTATTGGCATGATGTGTTACCTGGGCGTACTGGTCCTCATCTAGTCCTGCTCTCTTGTGGACGTCTGTGATGATCACACCAGGGCTGAAGAGACAAAATATGGTCATTTCTAGCAGAGACAATGGATATCAATGCTATTAAAATCAGAAATTTTATTGGATCTGTGTTAACCAACTGTGTGTATCCCACATTTGAATATCACTCACTGACCGCAACCATATATTTCTCATTAAACACTTACCAGACAGAGTTCACTCTGACCTGCTTACATGCCAGCTCTGAAATAAAAATGAGTCATGTTACATATATTGTGAACTTTTACTCAACATAAAGTACAAGGAGGAAAAAATGTTTCACTCACCAAGTGCTGTACAACGTGTGAACTGATCAATGGCGGACTTGGACATGCAATAGGCCAGCACACCAGGGAACTACAGAGAGAACACAGTGTCACAGCTCTCAGAGACATGTTAGTGGGTGTGGTTTTAAATTTCTGTCCAGCTGAGTGATACCCACTGATCTCTGTCCGTTGACACTGGATACATTGACGATGGAGCCTTTGGTCTTGATCAGGTGGGGCACACAGAGTTGAGTCAGGTGGTACACAGATCTGGAATATGAAATTGAAAAATTAGAGGAAATTATAACTAAAAAACTAAATGTCTATGATCTAGTATCCTTGGTCGGTTTATGACAGCGTAGCCTGATGTCCTCTATTGCGGAATCTTTAAGTCAACTGCAATTCTGTATTAATGTTCATATGTGTTTGCAGTACGACTGAATATAATGCAACAAACTCCACTTCACAGGTTTCTTTTCAGCACTGTAGCCAGGCTGACTGAGAGTCAAAGCTCTATTGAGCCTTGTATTCCTTTAGCCCTTAGCAGTAATGATTTTATGAGCTTTTTTAATGACAAAATTCTAACTATTAGAGGCAAAATTCATGACCTCTTGTCCTCAGATAGTACCTATCTAACCTCAAACACAGCTGTAAGACCTAATATATATTTAGATTGCTTCTCCCCAATTTCTCTTCAAGAATTGACAGCAGTGATTTCTTCATCTAAATCATCAACGTGTCTCTTAGACCCCATCCCAACTAGGCTACTTAAGGAGGTCTTTCCTTTAGTTAACACTCATATATTAGATATGATCAATATATCCTTATTAACAGGCTATGTACCACAGTCTTTTAAGGTAGCTGTAATTAAACCTCTACTAAAAAAGCCCACCCTGGATCCAGAGGTGTTAGCCAACTATAGACCAATATCTAATCTTCCCTTTATGTCAAAGATCCTTGAGAAAGTAGTCGCAGACCAGCTGTGTGATTTTCTCCATGATAATAATTTATTTGAGGAATTTCAGTCAGGATTTAGAGTGCATCATAGCACTGAGACAGCACTAGTTAAAATTACAAATGACCTTCTGATTGCTTCAGACAAAGGACTTGTCTCTGTACTTGTTTTATTAGATCTTAGTGCGGCGTTTGACACAATTGACCATCAAATTCTACTGCAGAGACTGGATCACTTAATTGGCCTAAAAGGTTCTGCACTAAGCTGGTTTAAATCTTATTTATCTGATCGTTTTCAGTTTGTTGACGTTCATAATGAATCATCCTTACGTACCAAAGTTTGTTTTGGAGTTCCGCAAGGTTCTGTGCTCGGACCAATCCTATTTACTCTATATATGCTTCCTTTAGGTAACATCATTAGAAATCACTCTATAAATTTCCATTGTTATGCGGATGATACTCAGTTGTATTTATCGATGAAGCCAGAAGAAAGTAATCAATTAACTAAACTCCATAACTGCCTTAAAGACATAAAAACTTGGATGAGCACCAATTTCCTGATGTTAAATTCAGACAAAACTGAAGTTATTGTTCTTGGCCCCAAACAACTCAGAGACTCTTTATCTGATGACATAGTTTCTCTAGATGGCATTGCTCTGGCCTCTAGCACTACCGTAAGAAACCTCGGAGTAATATTTGATCAAGATTTGTCTTTTAATTCTCATTTAAAACAAACCTCACGGACTGCATTTTTTCATCTGCGTAATATTGCGAAAATTAGGCCTATCCTGACCCGAAAAGATGCAGAAAAATTGGTCCACGCTTTTGTTACCTCTAGGCTGGATTACTGTAACTCTCTATTATCAGGTAGCTCTAGTAAGTCCTTAAAAACTCTCCAGCTAATTCAGAATGCAGCAGCACGTGTACTAACAGGAACTAAGAAACGAGATCATATTTCTCCTGTTTTAGCTTCTCTGCACTGGCTCCCTGTAAAATCCAGAATTGAATTTAAAATCCTACTGTTAACTTATAAAGCTCTAAATGGTCAAGCTCCGTCATATCTTAGAGAGCTCATAGTGCCATATTATCCCACCAGAACACTGCGCTCTGAGAACGCAGGGTTACTCGTGGTCCCTAAAGTCTCCAAAAGTAGATCAGGAGCCAGAGCCTTCAGCTATCAGGCTCCTCTCCTGTGGAATCATCTTCCTGTTACGGTCCGGGAGGCAGACACCGTCTCCACATTTAAGACTAGACTTAAGACTTTCCTCTTTGATAAAGCTTATAGTTAGGGCTGGCTCAGGCTTGCCCTGTACCAGCCCCTAGTTAGGCTGACTTAGGCCTAGTCTGCCGGAGGACCCCCTATAATACACCGGGCTCCCTCTCTCTCCCTCTCTCTCTCTCTCTCTCTCTCTCTCTCTCTCTCTCTCACTCTCATCCTATTACTGCATCTTGCTAACTCGGCCATTCTGGATGTCACTAACTCGGCTTCTTCTCCGGAGCCTTTGTGCTCCACTGTCTCTCAGATTAACTCATATCACAGCGGTGCCTGGACAGCGTGACGTGTGTGGTTGTGCTGCTGCCGTGGTCCTGCCAGATGCCTCCTGCTGCTGCTGCCATCATTAGTCATTAGTCATACTTCTACTGTTATTATACACATATGACTATTGTCACACATGTATACTGTCAGATATTAATACATACTTTCAACATATTGTACCACAGTAGCCAGAACTATAACTATAATATTATTACTTTCAATAATGTTGTTGTAAGCTACTGTTATTACCTGCATCTCTCTCTCTGTCTCTGTCTCTGTCTCTCTCTGTCTCTCTGTCTCTGTCTCATTGTGTCATACGGATTACTGTTAATTTATTATGCTGATCTGTTCTGTATGACATCTATTGCACGTCTGTCCGTCTTGGAAGAGGGATCCCTCCTCAGTTGCTCTTCCTGAGGTTTCTACCGTTTTTTTTTTCCCCCATTAAAGGGGTTTTTTTGGGGAGTTTTTCCTTATCCGCTGCGAGGGTCATAAGGACAGAGGGATGTCGTATGCTGTAAAGCCCTGTGAGGCAAATTGTGATTTGTGATATTAGGCTTTATAAATAAAATTGATTGACTGATTGATTGAAATGGACAATGGATGGATATCTGGATTAAGTCAAACATGTATACACACTATGAATACAATAAGATTCATACAAAAAAAATACACAAATATGACTCCTGTCTGCCTCGTCAAACTGGGGGCATGCCGACTGACATCTACTGTATGTAATACACTGAATCTGGATAAGTACCTCATACAACCCCACTTCAGAAGATCCGAACTATACCTTTAATGGCTGTATTTTGTATTTATTTTAAATCCACTTTTTCTTTTTCAAAATACATTTTACCACTGTATATAGTTTAGGGACTCACTAAACTTAGTATCTTGGAATTCGTTTTTTGTTTTTTTTTTCATATAGATCACTTTTGCCAACTTTCAGCTAAAATCTACTTTTACGAGCTGTCTCATCTGACACATCCCAGCTACTGCACACTCTGTACGACTGCACACTACACTAATGATGTAATGATGTCAGGTGTTTGATATCCTACCTGACATTGATGTTCATGATCTTGTCATACTGAGCCAGGTCGGTTGTCTCGATGCTGCCCATGGCCAGGATACCAGCGCTGTTAACGAGGACATCCAGCTGGCCGAAGTGAGCGACAGTTTGCTCCACTGTCTTTTTCACAGTCTCCTCATCCGTCAGGTCCCCAGGAACGAGCAAAGGCTGATAGACACACAGAGGATCAATGTTTCATTATGTTCTGCATTGTTGAAATGGTTTCAAAAACCTATTCACACACAAATCACATTGTTAAAGGCAGTAATGTTTAAATTATTAAGATGGTTTGCATGTTTTTAAATGTAAATGCATGTGCTAATATCAGCATCAGAGATGGACAGCATGTGTAGTCCACATGCATTTATATTCTTCTAGATCTATGCTGCATACACATTGACACAAAATATTTAAGTTTACTCTAAATATAATAGTCTAAATATGCCTACATT